TTGATGCGCCACACGAAGACTTGATGCGCCACACGAAGACTTGATGTGCCACGCAAACTTCCAATTTGCGAAACGAAGAATTGAAATGGGCATCACTGCATCGGGCTAAGAATTAAAATGCCTTTCAAATTTGGAAAACAACATCACAAAGTAATAACTTCCAGCAAAAAATACACGACACGAAGATACATCACGACGCCACAACATCTGACCTAACTCCATACATTCATTATTTATACCCTAGGGTGGGGTGGGAAAAATTGAGGGGGGTCATGTAAAGTTCTTCTTGTCCTATGGGGGGTACTTGCTTTTTGCAGTCTTGAGGGGGGAGGGGGTGTAGAAAAATCCTGAAAATATTCTAGCAACTGTCTATATATAGAACATCACTGGTAAGTGGGAAATTTTCGCCAGAAATAAAAACTTTGGATTGTGTAATATTTAATGCAAAACAACAAGAACTATTCGCGCAATACTAGAATTCGCACATTACTAGAATTTGTGCAGCAGTAGAATTCGTGCAGCGCAAAATGTAATCCATGTGAAAAGCTTTGTGGTGTAATATGTGACACTCATTGTTAGTAATGCAAATCAGTTGATTTTAGTAACGCATGAAAAAACTCTCACATATTTGGCACCGTTTTCTAACCATTTTAAGGATGTATGTTGGCACTTGGTTAAGGTTACAGAACACCTTTGAGTGTTAATTTTGCCTAAAATTTTTTATTGGTTTCAATGAAAGCATTAGACTAGTTCTAACCTCTGACCAAGTTTGAATGAAAAATGTTGAAAACTCACAGAGTTATTTAATAAAATACATTTCGCTGCAATAAGAAAAGCATTGAAAATGTAATATTCAAATTCAATTTTCCCCCGAAAAATTTTAACGGTAATTACTGATTTTCAAACGAGTTGTGCTCCTGCGGGTTTTAACCAATTTTTCTCAAATTTTCACAGGACATAATAGCTAAATACGTCAGTTTCAAAATTGTGTTCACCTTTTTTTAAATTTTGGATATTTTAAAAATAAAGAGCAATTCACTCAAACAATTCAGAAATATATTGCAGTTGTCAAAGAAATCGCCGCCATATCAGCGGAATGATGAAATAAACAAAAATATCCGAACACAATTTTTTAGAACAACTATTTTACTGTATAAAAATGACATTTTCATAAATATAACTTAAAACCAGCAGGCGCACAACTCAAAAGCATAACGGTACCGCGATTTAAGATTTTCCCAAATAATGCTTACATTATTTTATTGTTTGTTAATTTTACAACTTTACCATATTTTGCATGCACTGGAGAACATTTGGTGAAAATGATGAAAATCGGACTGATATTGAGCGTGCAGTAGTGATTTTCCGCAAAATGCCAAAAAGGGTGTCCTGTAACCTTAAGGCCATTGTGGTGTTATGCCCTTCCTTGTAAGCAAATTGGTCTGATCCAATAGTATCACAGATAGAATGAGCAATTTCAGTTTTATATATACATTTCTCAAATATTCTCATGATTATATCGGTTAGCGAAATGGGTCTTAGCTGATTGCAATTACAGTGAAAATACAAAAAGTGTCCCACTTCCGCTTCTGTAGTTTGTTGTGATTTACTGTAATTTGTTCTGTTTTTCTGTAGCGATTACCGATTTATCGGCAAATACTGCGATAAAATTTAAATTTCGTACCTTTTATGCAATGAAACTAACGAAAAATGTATTATTTCCCGTTGCGACAAATTATCATATTTAAAAAGTAGAGAAAACTAAGTTTTATCGCGGTATTTGCCGATAAATCGGTAATCGCTACAGAAAAACAGAACAAATTACAGTAAATCACAACAAACTACAGAAGTGGAAGTGGGACACTTTTTGTATTTTCACTGTAACTAAGGTAGGTTCTTTAGGAACTGGTAGCAAATTAGTTGTTTCCATGCCATAGGTACCTCTTACCAGCTATTAGTGATGACTTAAATATTTGAGTTGGTGCTAATTCTTGCAAATTCTCTCCAGAACCAATATAGGAGATCATCAGGACCTGATGATGCACATTCTTGTTCGTGAAGAAACTTGAAAACCATTTCGACAGTAAGCAAAGGGACTCTAGTACCCTTGGGAATTTGTAGTAATTCTGGAGATTCGTAGTATGGATCAGTACATAGGTTATGGAAGAAACTATTTATTTCATTGGGATCTATGAAAGATGTAACCGGTATTTTGTTATCTTTTCTCCCTGTGATATTGTATTATCTCCTATATGATTTGTCGATATTGGACCACCAAGCTTTTGATCCTGATTTATATTTTTGGTTTTCATTCCATACAGCGTTTAGTTATTTTTACAGATGAGATCATTAATTCTGCCTTGCGAACGAGTGTTAGCTTCACTGTTTCTTGCCTTGATTGCTCGCTTTCTTTGCTTTAGTAGATGTCTAACCAAGGGAGACATAAACGGTGGATCTTTTGTGGATGTACGAACTTTAACCATTGGGAAGCTTTCCTCAAATTTTGACCACATGGATTTGTAAGGTTTTTCAACCATTTCATCCACAGACTGCTCTTCCTTACGTATATCATTCCAATCAATGTCCTCTAGTTCTCTCCACATATCCAATTTTCTGTGATGTCTTCCATTATCATATTGGCATTTCAGAAAGTACCTCTCCTTTAATTTTACTGCTAAAAAGTCCATTATGTGACTGAAAATTGTAAATATTTGTCACTTTTTATGAGGTTAATTTTTTCTTTAAACTGCCCTTAGAATAAGTTCTTTGTATGTTTTTGGGGGTTAAAAAATCCATTTGTGTGAAGCCTGCACTACACCAACCAAACACAGGACGAAATTAGAAATATAAATCAGATTAAAGGGATCTTAAAGGCATATTAATGGTGCCTATAATGACATTTAATCTGCAGGATTATATTTTGTAAAGGTACGTATACATCGCTTTAAGCCTGGCATGGCGGCGCAGTGGAGGCTTTACGATTTCACGTTATATGTTGCTTAAAGAACTGTAAAGGTATCTTTACTGGTTTGTGTAAAGAAATGGTATATCTAATTTAAAGATAGGTTTACACTGCTTTACTGATACTATTAAAGCAACAGTTTATGTCAGTTTACCTTTACAGCATTTAATCTTCATATTAAATTTTGTAAAGGCGTCATATGAATGAAATCCAGATTTCTTGCTTTAAAAGGTCTCTTTAATGGTCGATGTAAAGAAATGGTATATGTAATTTAAAGATGTGTTTACACTGCTTTACTGATACAATTAAAGCAGCAGTTTATGTCAACTTACATAATTTAATCTTTACAGCATTTAATCTTCATATTAAATGCTTTAAAGGTGTCATGTGAATACAATCCAGATTTCTCGCTTTATCATGGGAGCTATCTTCGGTATTATTGGCAGTGCTCACTGCAATGTCATGCAATAAAACAAACAAATAAGTTCGACTAATTGTCTGAAACATCGAAATTGTTTTATTTTAATTATTAGCAGTAAACTCAACACAGATATTGCCAAACAAGTAAAAAAAGACACAGGTAAATGGTGTATATTAATTAACTGTAATTTGTAATTTTAATAAGTGCCTATTATTATTATAAATCATTAACACGCAATGCATGTATATAGTAAAACATTGTACATTTGAAAAATACGTATATATATATATATATATATATATATATATATATATATATATATATATATATATATATATATATATATATATATATATATATATATATATATATATATATATATATATATATATATATATATACATATATATATATATATATATATACATATATATATATATATAGACATATATATATATAGACATATATATATATAGACATATA